TCTTGAGGGCCTCTGGGGCGTGCGGCAGCTGGGCTGCTCCCGGGGTGGGTCTGGGGACCCCCAGGGGCAGCCCCGCGCGCGCGAGCTTGAAATATCGATCACCAGTTGCCAGAGATCTTAGCACGCCCCTGGCCCTCGGGCGAGTGCTACTAATTGGGGGGGGGGGGCCCACGTGGGGGGTGGAGAACAGGGCCCCAAAGGCCCCCTTCCGGGCCCCTCGTGGACACCTGCTGGCTCCCAAAGGGGCCCGAAAGGGCACCGTTAGGGTCCTTTTCTTCACCCGCCACGTGCCCCCCCCCCCCCCTTTCAGCAACCCGCCCGCGCCGGCGAGTTCCGGGGCCGCAGGTCTACGACGAGCTGGCCGCCGCCGAGCTGCGGGCCGCGCCGCGGGCACGAGCCGTGCTCCACGACCGCCGCCCCGCCGCCCCGCTGCCCCTCTGGTGTTCGCTTGCGGCCCTCCTCCCTCCCTCCTCCGTTCCTCCCTCCTCCTCCTCCTCCTTCTCCCTCCTACTCATCCTTCTCCGCCTCCTCCTCGGGATTCTCGTACGCTCGTCTCCTCCCCAGCCGTTTTTTCTCACACAAAACATATGTGCACATACATATATATATATATATATATATATATATATACATGTGTAGACATACGGAAACACGTATAGCATATTATACGCATGTATTTATGCCAAAGATGGCCCAAGAGGCACCCAGGAGGCCCAAGAGGCCTCCAAGAAGCCCCAAGAGGCCTCCAAGACGCCCCCAAGAGGCCCCAAAGAGGCCTCCAGCCGGCCCCCAAGAGGCTTTAACACTGCCTCCAAGAGGCCCCCGAGAGGCCTCCCATCATATCCCAACGAACATCCAAGAGGCTTATAACCCACAACCCAGGCACGGTGGCGGGACTTGCCGTAGGCAGATGGATACATCGCCGATTCCAGGTCGATGTTCCCCCCGTGAGACAGTCCCTCCTTATGGTTGCGGCGGTAGCGTTCCCTCTTGTAGCCTCCTCGGGGCAATTCTGGGACGATCTGAAGCTCGTAGGCAGCGGAAAGGCGAGTCTACAATGTTCGCATGTGTCAAGGCACCCCCTCCCCCCCGCTTTGGGTCCGCCCTGCTTCTCTGATCCCCTAGACACCCTGCGCGGGGCTCGACTAACATCGAGACGGTCGGTTTTGCTCCATCCTCGGTCTCTGGGTTCTGGCCTCGGGTTCCGGGACCGGCCAAAAACAGTTTGAGACGAGAGGATGGCCCCAGGGAAGGGGTCGAGGGGGATATAGAGAGAGGAGATCCGGATGTCCCTTGGTGCAATGCCACCGAGAACGGGCCTGCGTCGGTGGGAGGTGAAGTGGGTCTGCCTGCAGCTCCGAGTCCCTGTTTCGAGCCCTCTTCCCGCCTACGCTCGCCCGACTCCATTCCAGTTGCCGGGAGCAGAGCAGGCAGTATAATTTGTCTCCTCACCACGGTGGTATCCCTCCCCGCGATCATCGGTTTGAGGGATGCGAGGTAGGACCGAGGATATGAGGGTGAGGGTTGGCGCTCGGAAGGCCAGGACACCCAGCACCCGCGGGCATTTGCGGTCCAGATGCCGCAACAAGTGCAGCACAGCTGCAAACAAAGCATGCATCATGCCCTCTTGGGAGAGGCCCACGCGGGAGACACAGCTGGAGCAGGGTGGCACACTTGCCGGCCCTCCCCCGCGGGATGCCGGGATGGAGGGTGCGCTTGTTCCTCGCGGAGTGGTGGGCTAGCCGGGCCTGTCCCTCTACAGGAGGAATATTAAAACGTAGTCACAAAATAGTATTGGGACGATTTTTTCAGCATTTTCCGACTATTTTGGGGCATTTTTGAAGTATTGATTTAATTCTTCGCCCAAAGCCCGCCTGTAGGGGGACATGCCCGACCTAAGGCTACCCCTCTGCTGGACTGTGGAACCGCAGGCGCCGTTCGACGAGTGCTCTGGGCAGGTCCTGAAGGCTCTCTGCCGCCTTGGAGCGCTCCGATTGCGCTCCGAGTGCTCCGGGTCTGCTCTGGCCCGATTCCGACGACGACGACGACGACGACGACGACGACGACGACGACGACGACGACGACGAGCTGCCACCGCCGCTGGCCATTCTTCGGCCACCCCCAGGAGCTGCAGCAGGCACGGGACTCGGGGCTCGGGGAGGAGCCGGATCAGCAGCTGAGGATGTTCGCCGTCGAGGTGGCCCCGCCCAGCCACCAGCTTTTTGTATCAGCCCGAGACAGTCAGGAGGGAAAAAACGCACAGACACAATGAATCGTCGATCCCCATGAGAATATGGGAAAATATGGGAAGTGGAGCGGAAGACGAAAATCCAGAAAATATGAAACATATTGGAAATCTTGGGATTTGTATGAATTTCGGACCCCTTCAGACAGTTTGCTCCATCATTGCGATTGGCATCACCTTGCCTCGGCGCCGATCTTCGGGATTCCCCCAGCTTCTGAGGGCTCATCCCGAAGGTTGTCATCGGCTCGGGCGTGTCAATCTCAGGGGTCATGCGACCAAGCGATCAAGATATGCCTGGGGGTGGTCGAAGCGCCCCGCTGGGAAGCGGTCGATTAGAAAGATGCAGTGGAGACCCATGCCAAGAAACACCCTGCTTGCCTCTCCAGGGTGCCCCGGGTTTCTTTGGTTTCCATGGTTTTGCGATGGAGAGCGCGACGTTCCCACACCAAAAAGCGATGGACGTCCTGGGGACTCAGGGTTGGGTTTCTCTGTAAGAACGGTTTTTTGAAGGCAGATCTGCCTTCAATGAGGAAAGACTGGTCTACTCTGTAAGAACGGTTTTTTGAAGGCAGATCTGCCTTCAAAAAACCGTTCTTGCGGAAGGTTTCTTGCGGACTGGCCTCCGCTGTACCACAGGTTCGTCGTGGTCGTCGCCGTCGCCGTCGAGGCCGCCGGGCCGCCAGGCCATCGACCCAGACGAGGAACAAATGTGTGTGTGTGTTGATCGTCCCTGCCCAGTTTGGGGGGCGAGGACATCTAAGCATATCCGTAAGTCGGGCCTGTCCCTCTACAGGGGGAATATTCAAGAATAGTCGAGACATAGTTTTGGGACGATCTCTTGATTACTGCTAGATCATTTTTGAGTACGTTTTGATAATTGTTGATTTGTCCTCCAAAATCTGCCTGTCAGGGGACATGCCCGCCACTGCTTCCTGGCCAGGCCCATCCTGAACCCAGCAGCGGTGTATGCGCCACGCCCTCTTGGCCTGGCCAGGAGGGCGGATACCCAGCTCCTGGGCCCAGGAAGGGCCCGGCCAGGGGGCAGTGGACATGCACACGGCTCGTTGCCCGAAATCTGTTGCTCCACCGGCTGGTCGCACCGCCGCCCGTCGGCGTGCAGCCGGTGCCACTGCGCGAGGGCGGGTCTGCTGCAGCGCCCGGCGGCCGCGGGCCTAACAGGTGGTGGCACAGGGGCGCCGCTCTCCGGACGCTGCGGCAGGCACGCGGCTCCCGTGCCTGCCGCATCGCCTGGAGGGCAGGCCTCCTGCGCACGCACGGGGCACCCGTGCCCACACCCGATGCCCCTCCTGTGGCAGGAGGGGTGTCGGGCGTGGCCGAGGGTGTCTCTGGCCCACGGTGTCCCCGGGACTCCCAGGGAGGCCCATGTGGCCTCCAGAGCACGCCTCGCGAGGCCCAGAGGGCCCCAGGGGCCCCCAGCATGGGGCGAGAAGCTGGGGACACCTTGAGCCAGGCGCACTTCCAGCAACACCCGAGGGGAGGAGGGGGATGGGGGAGCATGACGATGAGGCGGAAGGCGACGACGGTGCGAAGGATGACGATGCGACCGTGATCTTTCAATATGTCTCCTGTCGGAGGGATGCTTCCTTCGGAAGTAGGGTGGGCGGGGGGATGAGGAGGAGGAGGAGGACGAGGCGGAGCTGGGGGAGGGTAAGCGGGAAGCATGGGGAGCAGGGAGAAAAGGGGCAACGGCGAAGACTTCGACGACGACGACGACGACGTCGACGAAGACGACGACGACGACGACGTCGACGAAGACGAAGACGACTACGACGACGACGGCGACGACGACGACGACGACGACGACGTCGACGACGGCGACGACGACGTCGTCGACGTCGACGACGACGACGACGGCGCTGGCGGCGGCGTCGACGACGACGACAACGACGACGTCGACGGCGACGACGACGACGGCGGTGGCGGCGGCGGCGGCTGCGGCGTCGCCGGCCACATGACGACAGCGACGAAGCGACAAGGGCCGGGGACAGAGCTGGCCGCCCCCGCTCATGCTGGCTCGAGGGGCGGGCCCGCCGCGGCGATCTGCTCGTGCCCTCCTCCCCCTCCTGGCCTCCTCCCCTCCTGTGGGAGAATGGGGAGGAGGAGGAGGAGGAGGAGGAGGAGGAGGACGACGACGACGACAAGCATGAGTGTATGGGTGTCCCTTCTCTCCCCCCTCCTCCCCCCCATATCGTACGGGGTAGGTCCCGCGCCGGGTCCCGGTGGCGCGCACTCTCGCGTGCCGGCCGGGTGCGTCGCGTCGACCGGTGGGAACCTTGCCCAGCGGCTACGGAGAGGAGGACGACGGATGGCAGCGCTCTGGTCGAACCTCGATGCCACCCGTCGTCTTCATTCTTGAGGAGGGGGGCGAGGGAGTACTGCCGATGCTTCTCCCTGGCCTCTCTCCGTGGCCCCTGGCCTGCTCCTCGCGGGTTGCCCCCCCCCCCCTTCCCCTGTCCCTTTCCGCGGACGACATGACTTCACCGTATCGCGTTGGCGTCTCCCGAGGCGTCGTCGATCCTCGACTCAGGAATGGTACGGTGCATCGTTTGTCGGCCTTGGGAGCCAGAAAACTATGCACCGAACCGCGTAGGAGCGGGGCCTGAAGGGCACCCAAACATGGTGTGGTGCATTGACGCCGTTTTCATACCCTTCCTGCACTGGTCCCCCAGTCCTCCTCTTTCCTTCTCTGCTTTTTGCCGCGCCCGCGTTTGCGGCTTGCGGCGCTTGGGGTGCCATGGCGCTGGCCAACACGGAAGGGCAGGGTCGGTCGGGCGAGCGATTTCTAGGGGCAAGGGGGAGTCATGACCTCACAGTGTTTGCTTGCGCCTACCAGCGAACGGGAGATTTTGCAACGTAAGAGTGACACGCTCTCGGTGATCATGCTGGGCGCATTTGTTCAGTACTCCGCCGAATCACGCGTGGCATGACACAGGTAAGCAGCCACGGAAGACGTGAACCCCCAGAGATCCGTTCCCGGGCGCCGCACCACCCACAACAACACAACGTGCATGAGAAGTTGTTGGAGACGCTGGCACAGGACGGACGACAGGAGAGGATCGCCGATCCCGCCCAGCGCATCAGGAGCATATTTTTGTTTATGCTTTTTCTGACTGGTCGGTAAGGACGGGTGTGCGGCCCGACGTGGGCCTCAGACCTCGTCTAACACCATCAGGGCCTCCCTCGCCCCGTGCCCCTCCACCAATCTCCCGCGTCATCCTCTCATCTTCCTCGTACCCCCATCCTTTTACACACCCTCCCTCCTCCTCCCCTCTCCAATGCATCCTCGATGCCGCCTCCTCCCTGCCTTCTCCCCCGTCCTGCCTCCTCTTTGTCAATTTTCCTCCCCCCCTCCCCATCTTTTTCCCTAGTCGCGTCGTCCCTGTCGTCCTCCCCCCACCCTTCTCCCTCATCCCTCCTCCTTCCCTCTTCTTCCTTCTTCCTTTCCTTCATCCCTCCTTCCTCATCCCGCCTTCCCTTCCCTCCTCCCTCCTCCCTCCTCCTCATGGTTCTCCACATCTTACCATCCTCCTTCAGCCTCATCCTCCTCCCTCATTTTGGTTTCGAAGTGGCGGGCGACGATGACTATCACGAGTTGGTGGGAGAGAGCGTAGCAGTAAGCGCGGAGTAGAAGGATTGGCAGAGAAGATGGACAACATACTTAGCCATTCCATTGTGTCTGAAACCAATCGTTTCGCGTGACATGTCAGAGCGGTGTTGGGCACATTGCAACACATCTTCGGCAATCTTCTCGGAGAAGGTCATTTGGGTCATGCAGTGCACGTGGTTCCCAATACGGTCAGGAACTCGTGCGTGGCGTGTCACGCCACCGGTTCTGGCCCACCGCGCGTCGGCGCCACACGCTAACCGCGTCCAGGCCCCCCAGCATCAGCGTTCCGAGCTTTTCCAAGCCTCCCGTCCCACGAAATGGAGCGACGCGCTACCAGCTTGCACGGCTTAGCGTGTCGCAACGGCCGTCGCCGCGACACGCTGAGCAACAGTTCCTGACCGTAGTGGCTCGGTCTACGCACACGTGGAACAAGCGGTGGCTGATGGGGTGCAGCCTGGTCGGGTGCTCTGGCCGCATGGGTCTTTGGAAGTCACGTTTCCGCTTCTGCGCGTCCTCTGCCATGGGGGCCCTTGCAACAAGGACGAGCAGGCTTCCCAAACAGGGGAAAGATCCGTCAACATATCTTGAGTATGTTCCTTGGCCAGGCCCCCTGCCTTTCTATAGACCTGCGCGCAGGAACCTGACAACTTTATTTTCTGCTCGTCGGTGCAACTTTGGAGGTGTCGGCGCGTCGCCCATGGCGTCCAGTTGACCTGGCCCGGCACAGAAACGGAAAGAGCGCTTCAGAAGCAGAAACCGAAATTACTCACACCACCGTTCGTACTGGGAGCCTTGACGTTGAGAGCTTGTTACGTCACCCCTCGCTCTTGGGAGCCTTGGTGTTCAGAGATTGTTGCGTTGCCACCCGTTATTGAGCCTTGGCTGGGCCTTGGTGTCAGGAACTTGTTACGTCACCGCTCTCTGCTGGGAGCCTTGGTCTTATCAGCTTGTTTACGTCACCGTTCGCTCTTGGGAGCCTTGGTGTGAAGAGCTTTTTGAGTTACCGATCGCTCTTTATTTGGCGTCTCTGGGCCTTCTTGGGAGTCCTATTGGGGCCCTTGTAGAGCCCTTTTGGAGGCCTCTTGGGAACCTCTTGGGGGCCTCTTGGGGCTTCTTGGGGGGCTCTTAGGGCCTCCTGGAAGCTTCTTGGGGCGAAAGGCTAAACTTGTCGGTTCGTGGTCCCCCTCTTGGGGCCGTCTTGGGCCCTCTTGGGCGCCTCTTGGGCCGTCTTGGCGCCCTCTTTGGCCGTTTTGGGGACCTCTTGGGAGCCTTTTGGGCCGTCTTGGGGCGGTCTTGGGGGCCTCTTGGACCGTCTTCAACGCCGTGAAAGCCGAAAAGCCGTGTACGCTAAAAGTGTACTTTTTCCCCATAGGAAATCAATGATTTGGGCATCCTGGTGGCCTCTTGGGACGCCTCTTGGGGGCCTCTTGGGGTTTCTTGGGGGGCTCTGGAGGCCTCCTGGGAGCGTCTTGGGGCGAAAGGCTAGACTTTTCGGTTCGTGGTCCCCCTCTTGGGGCCGTCTTGGGGCCCTCTTGGGCCGTCTTGGGCGCCTCTTGGGCCGTCTTGGCGCCCTCTTGGGCCGTGTTGGCGGCCTCTTGGGAGCCTCTTAGGTTGTCTTTGGGGCGGTCGTTGGGGCCTCGTGGGCCGTCTTCAACGCCGTGAAAGCCGAAACGCCTTCCTTGCATGCTAAAAATGTATGGTTTCCCATAGGAAATCCATACTTTTGGCCTCTTGGTGGCCTCTTGGGACGCCACTTTGGGGCCTCTTGGGGCTTCTTGGGGGGCTCTTGGGGCCTCCTGGGAGCGTCTTGGGGCGAAAGGCTAAACTGTTCGGTTCGTGGTCCCCCTCTTGGGGCCGTCTTGGGGCCCTCTCGGGCCGTCTTGGGCGCCTCCTGGACCGTCTTGGGGCCCCCTTGGGCCGTTTTGGGGGCCTCTTGGGAGCCGTCTTGGGTCGGTCTTGGGGGCCTCTTGGGCCGTCGTCAACGCCGTGGAAGCCGAACAGCTGTATATGCTAAACATATAGATTTTCCTAAAGGAAATCAATGATATTGGCCTCTTGGGACGCCCCTTGGGCGCCTCTTGGGGGCCTCTTGGGGGCCTCTTGGGCAGTCTTGGGCGGTCTTGGACTCTCTTGGAGCGCTCTTGGGCCGTCCTGGGGGGGAAACCCGAGGGAAAAGACGCTTTGAGGCCGTCTTGGAGGTCTACGGGGCAGTCTTGGGGCCCTCTCTGGGCAGTCGTGGGTCCTCTTTGGGCCGTCTTGTGGGCCTCTTGGCGGCCTCTCGGGCCGTCTTGGGCCGATCTTGGGCCCCCCCTGGGGCCGTATTGGAGCGTCGGAAGCCCGAACAGGCGAGAACGCTAAAATCATTGAAGGACCAAACGGAAAACAATGGTTTGGGCCTCTAAGAGCCCTCTTGGGGACGTCTTGGACCATTTGAAGGCCATGTTGGGCCGTCTTGGGACCGTCTTGGAGGCCATATTGGACCGTCTTTGAGGCATCTCGTGCAAACCTGGAGACTTGTTGGACACGACTGTGCAGTCTTGGAAGTCTCAGTGGGCCGTCTTGGAGGCCATGTTGGGCATCTATGAGGCAGGTGTTTTGCAACTTGTGTTCGACTTTCTGTCCTTTCGTTCCTGCCGCGGAGGCGGCGGGCTGAGCCGAAGCTCACTTGGATCTTTCTGGAAAGGCCATTGTGGATTAGAACATCTTGCACGCCAAGCACAGCCACGGCATGCTACAGGGGCGGCGGAGATAGAATGGCGTTCGGGCTCTCCCGCCACCGAGCCTTTGTCGTGGACGAGAGGCTTCTTAGAGGCCTCGTGGAGTCTCTTGGAAGGCCTCTCGGGGGCCTCTTTAGGGGGCTCTTGGGGGCTAGTTCGAGGAGCCTCTGGAGATCTGGTGGGGGGCGTTCTGGGGACCCTGGAGGCAATGCATGATGCATGGCCCCCACCGCCTTTTCCGTTTCTCCCTCTTGGGGGCCTCTCGGGGGCCTTCTCCCTCTTCAGTCCTCTCGGGCCGTCTTGGGCGCTCTTGAGACCTCAACGGCCAGCATGTGGAAGCCATGGCACGTGCGCAGGTGCTTCAAGGATGCTGGCCTCGTGGACTGCCCTCCCCACCCCCAGGGCCTCCGAGACGGCCCAGGAGGCACCAAAGAGAGCCGAGGGCGGTCTCTCGGGACCATCTTGGGGCACGTGGGAAGTGTGGACTCCCAACCGCGGTCCCGAGGTTTCGATGCTGAAGCATGCGAGGCATCCTGGGAGGCCCGGTAATTCTGGAATTCGGGCAGGGGCCCTCAAAGAGCACTCCCAGTCTTTGCGGCACAGTGCGGATAACGAATGTGACCGATCGTTCGTACCCGCACCATTGGCAATTCGAGCAGTGTTGTGATTCCCCTTGCACGGGGGCTGCAGAGGATTGAAGCATTGGGAGCATATTGGTGGAGGCACTTGAGGCAGGCTTGTTCGGGGCGAGAGCTTGGTTCCCACGTGACTGCGTGTTTTATTTCAGCACTCGTCACTCGTGGACTCGATTTGGTACGCCCGTCCTCCGCGCGTGTGTCAAGCGCGTGGGCTCCGCATGTTCCGCATGCGAATCCAGCCGTGTGGTTTTTTGTCCAGCCTCTGGGTATAGCAGTGCAGGGCGCCTCCCCTCCCCGGGGGTGACCGGCTCAGGGTGGGGGGGACATAAACCTGGAGCCAGCGATACATCACTGATAGATTGGAGATGTGCCCCCGAAAGCGAATCCACATGCTCCTGGGCGGGTGGGTCATCGGGCCCCGATGCGGGCGGGAGTGGTGGGGTCCTACTAGGGCAACATCTACGTCTTCATGGAGGCCCGCTCGATGCGTCTCTCCAGGAGGGGACGCTTCAGAGGACGAGGCAGGGCACATATCCTTTGTCGCCTCCCGCCTCATCTGACACGATGGCACGATTCCTCAGGCCCACGATGGGGCGTCAAGTACTTGCGTCCGCTTTCTTTGCAACCGACACTGTGTGTCTGCTCTTTCTGTCTCTCTTCCTCCTCCTCCTCCTCCTCCTCCTCCGCCTCCTCCCCCTCTCCCTAGAGCCTGCTAAGCCGCTCCTTGTGTACGTGAAGCAATCTTTGCTGGACAACAGGGGTAGGCAGCAGAGGATGAGAAGAGGAGAGTCGACGATGGGGAAGCGAGGGAGTAGGAAGAGAATGGGAGCATGATGCGTTGTTGATCAGCTGCCTTGTGCTCTAAGACTGCCTCCAGATATGTCTCTCCAGATCTCCAGGTTGAGATCAGTGGAGTCAACATTGGGCGTATGATCTTCAAGCTGTACGATGGCATTTGCCCGAAGACCGCGGAGAATTTCAAGTGCAACCTCCAGTCAGCTCCGATTGCCGCCAAACACTCACTCATATGTGCAATGTGTCTACACTCATGTTTGTTCTCTCTCTCTCTCTTTCTCTTTTCCCGTCCCCATCAATTCGTTTAGTTTATGGTGTCCGTCCTTACGTGTTTACATATCCCCTTCCACTCCCCGCTAAGTTGCTTTACCTCACTCTCTTTCTTTCCCGCTCTCTGTCTTCCTTTCTCCCTCACTCCCTCTCTCTCACACTTGTCATGGTTTGTTTGTTCTATCTCTTGTTCTCTCTGTGTGTATATACCTCCCCTCTCCATGCCTTCATTTGTGTTGTTCTCTCTCTCTCTCGATTATCCTTCTCACCCTTCTCTTCTTTTCTCTCTCTCTCTCTCTCTCTCTCCCCCCCCGCACCTGGTCGAGGAACCGATTCCTATAAGCGGGATCACCTATTGTTCTTGGTAGACTTTCCCCCCCCCTGTCCTGAACGCTGGCGGGGCGGCCCCCCGCTGAGGGGCGGCGAGGAGGGGCTGCAAGGGCCCAGAGGCCTGGGAGTGGCCAGCAGTGCTTCATAAAAGGCCCCCGAGTCCAGCAGCAGAGCCTGGCCCAAGACGACCACAAGAGACGGAAGCAAGGTAGCTAGAGACCCCATGCTCCGTTCGGGCCGGACTGGGGTGAGTTTGGTGCGCAGCCTAACACTTGCCGGCTTGTTCGTTCCTCCCCCGAGTCCAGGGCGATTGCATTGCACGATTTTGCGTTCAGTGCCTTGCGGTCGCCACTGCTTAGCGGAGTTGCGATGGGGATCGACCCCTTGAGGGGCAGAGGATCGGGCGGTCTTCGTGCTGGAAGAAGGGCAGCAGGAGACCCCCCAAGGAGGCCTCAGAAGCGTCCAAGGCGTTCCCAAGGGCCCTTCACGCAAGCCCCGGGGAGTCAAGCTGCGGCAGGTTCGTGCCGTGTCGACGCGGCGCCGCCGCCCGTCGCCCGGAATCGGCTGGCATGCAGAGGCCTGCGCTATCGGAACACCGCGATCATGCTCGGTCAAGCGATCCACGCGTGGTCAGAAACAAGAGCGCGCAGGTCGTCACGGTGTGGGCATCGGCTGTGGGCATCGGCTGTGGGCATCGGCTGTTTCCAGCTGTTCTGGTTGAGGATGGCCCCCCGAAAGGGCCCCAGGGATCCCTTTCGAGGAAATTTTGCCAAGACGGCCTCCAAGTTGGCCCCAAGATGGCCCCAAGACTGGCCCCAGACGGCCGCAAGCCCCTTACCGTAACGACCGCACGGCCCTCCCCATAGGGTCTCCAAAACAGTTTGAGAACCCCTCCCGGGAGGCTCACCCGCCCGCCCGTCTCGAAGCGGCAGCCCCGAAGGGTCGTCGCCAAGAGACGGCAGCGCCGACGAGCGCTTCCGATTGGACTTGGGTCTCCTCGACCTTCCATGGGACCTCGTGAGCCTCCCGCCACGTATGGACTCCGCGCGTCACCTCCTTACTGCCAGGGCCGACGCAGGATCTCTTCCGCCCTTCAGCACCTCGGTGCCGTAGCCTGGCGGCCGAGTAAATCCCAGGTAGTTCAAGCCCAATCTGTCTCGCCCACGCCTCGCAGCTCCATCTCGGACACCGTGTGTTCAAAGACGGGCTGAAACTCGAGGGCTGGAAATTTTCTGCTGCAGAGATCACGCCAAAATTTGTTCAGTTTCTGTTGCTTCTCCATGATACCCTGGAACTCGAGCAGACAGTTCTCCAGGATTCGGTACGTACTCGTTGTCCGGATCGTTGTCCAAACGGGCGACATGGCCAATTGATTTGGGCTTAAGATTGAACGAATCGCGCACGCATTACCTCGCGTCGAGCTCCTCGAGGAAGGTCGTGGCATTCAAGACTTGACCGGCCAGCGCCGCAACAGTATATTGTGGGTATGTCTGTCAGACAGCAGCTCCCTACAAGTTTCATTAGGTAGTTTCCATTTCCTGTGCAGTTGTGGGCCCCGCTGTCGGTGCAGTCGCACTCGCAGTTGCGGTTAAAGCTGCTCAACGGTTCGTTGCATGCAGTCGCCCACGCAGAAGCAGATTTTGATGTCCCTTCCAGCTGCTGTTGGGAAGGCCTTACGGCCGGTGCCGCTGACCTTGAAGGGGGACGACGATAACGACAGCGGCGTCGGCGGCGACGACGACGCTGACGTGGGGCAGAGTCCTCAGTGATGTTTCGTAGGGCCCTTTCGGAGCGCGCTCGTAAGCCTCTGGGGGGCAGTCTTGTGGCCTCTTGGGAGCATCTTGGGAGCCTCTTGGAAGCCTCTTGGGGGTAACTTCGGGCTTCCTGGGGGCCTCTTGGGTCCCTCTTGGGGCCTCGTGGGGGCCTCTTGGGAGCCTCTCGGGGCCTTCTGGGAGCTTCTCGGGGCCGAGGGCTCGAAGTGTTCGTTCGGGCTCCCGTGCGGGCAACCTTCTGGAGCTGCTTGGGGGGCCTCTTGGGCCATCTGGGAGGCTTCTGGGGCCGTCTCGGGGCCCTCTTGGGTCGTTTTTGGGCCGTCTTGGAAACCTCTTGGAGGCCTCTTGTCCCGATCTTGGTGGCATCTTGGGCTTGGGGCGTCGGGAAGCCGAGAAAAGGCGAGAAAGCCAAAATCTTGCAAAAAGCGTGAGGAAATCATGTGGTGATGCCTGTTGAGGCCCTCTTGGTGTGCTTCGATCGGGGCTGTTAGGAGGCCATCTTTGGCGTCGATTGTTCGGCGATTCGGGGTCCTCTTGAACCGTCTTGGGGGCCTCTTGGGCTGCCTTGGGGCTTTTTGGGCCCGAGGACCCCCCCTGGGGGAGGATGGTAATCTGACCCGGGACCCCCCCCCCCCGGACCCCCACCCCCAGGTCAACCCCCCGGGACCCCCGGGATCCCCACCCCAATCCCCGCCCCCCCCCGGGGGGGAAGGGATCAAAGGTAAGGGGCTTCCGTTCGACTCAACGACGTTGCGTAATTTCGCGTTGGTTTCGCTTTGGCGGGCTCGCTTGAGGAGGAGGGCCCAGTGAAGGGGGGGGGAGCGCGAGGCGACGGCGACAACGACGACAAGGACGACGAAGGAAAGGGGCATCAAACGCGACAGCGACAACGACGACAAGGATGACGATGACGACGACGACGACGACGACGACGACGACGACGACGACGACGACGGCGACGACGACGGCGATGACGACGACGACGACGACGACGACGATGACGACGACGACGACAACGTCGCGTCCAGCTGCTGATCGTAGCATTGTCGAATTCTGCGGATCATGACAACTATTAGATATAGAAGTAAGTATATAGATGTCGTTCGGCCAATGCTAGCGAAGGCAGCTGTCGTATTTATTTATTTATTATGTATTGATTTTTATATTTATTTATTCATGTATTTATTTATTTATCAATTCATTTAATTATGTTTATTTATTTATTTATTTATTTATTTATGTATTTATTTATTTACTGGTTTCTATATAATATAGTCTAGCTCGTGCTCTTGCAGAGAGCAACAGTACCATCAGTTTCAGCATAGTCGTGCTGAACATAGTGGTGACGCTGGTGACGGTTACGGTGGCCTCAGTGGAGGTGATGTTTGTTCCGCCTGTCTAGTGTATTGCCGAACACTTACGGCCTGTCCCGCCAACCTCGAGAAGTGGGAAGTTTGTGCGGAAGAGGGGCAAGGAAGACGGACGCGGGGGGCAGTGGCGGCCTCTTCTTAGTGCGAGGACGATCATCTAGTTGTGTTCGGCCCATCCTACCATTGAGCCCGGGTCGTGTTCCAGAGGCGTTCGGAAGATGTTCGGGTCGTTTGGGCGGGTTCTTGTTTCTCGAATGCCTAGGGACTCCTGGGAGTATGTGTGTCACACATGGATGCGCCTGGGGGCGTCTCAGAGCCTCGTGTGGTCCTCTTGGGGATCTTGGAGATCTGTTGGAGGAGGGGTTGGCTTCCAGTGGTGCGACGGTTGCGCGCATTTGGGGCCGCTCTTTGGGCCGTCTTGGGGTTTTCTTGGGCTCCTCGGCGGGGCCTCGTGGGCCATCTCGGGCCATTCTGCGGGGCTTCTTGAGCCGTCTTGGGCGCTCCTGGGACCGATGCGGCGAGAATGCACATCTTTCAGAGAAGCAACTGGGATTGAGACGATGTCGGCCTCGTGGGCCAGCCCCCCAGGCCCCCAAGAGTGCCAATACGTCTTCAGGAGGCGCCGAAGCTGGCCGAGGTTGGCCCGCGCGGGCTCTGCCCGGCCTGCAAACCCAGACCCCCTCGAGTCATGAAGCATCGCGACGGAAGGTTTTTCGCTATCTTCTGGCTCTGGATGCCCTTATTGGGACTCGGGACCCTCAAAAAACGACTCAGGATAAAAAACCAGTCCCGGGGAATGGGTCGAGGCCTTTGATGAATCCCGACGTCAGGAAAAACATGACGTCGGGAATTTGGGAAGATGGCCAAACTGGTCCCATCACCCGAGTCATTCCAGGGATGAGGGGGCGAGAGGGGGGCACTCCTGGGACCCCCAGATACCCCAGTTGGCAAGCTTGAAGGCCCCCTAGATGACCTCTGGGAAGAGGGGGGGGGGTTCGAATGGAAACCACCCCAGGACCCACTCCGCCTCACAAAAGCCGACAGGGTCGGCAGACTTCACCTGCGTCAGCATCTCATTCTTGCGTAGGGCTCGATTCGCGTATGCACCCCTTCTCATACATCAGGTTGGCCTTACACCCTTGCACACTCGCCGCTACCAATCTCTTCGCTCGCTCCCTCCCTCTCGGCCTCCCTTGGGACGGGAGGTACGGACTCCTTGCGTCGGCTCGACGCGTCCCGTACGCTCTGATGCGGGGGTCCATTCGTGCTGTAATGAGTTTGCATCATTTGGTGCCCGTGCAGAGTTGTTATCTCACGAATATTCTGCGAGTTGCGTTGCGGGCTCTACTGACAGGCTACTGCTTAATCAGCGTCGAAACCCAAAACATCCCCTCTCCATGCCCATAGATCCTCTGTCGAGCCTCCCCCCCTCCCCTTCAATGGGTTCCCTCCTCTGTCTGCTTCGCCTTCCCCGTTTCCCCCCGCTCTCCCTCGACCCCACCTCTTGCCCTCGACTCTCCCCCCTCTCTCTTTCCTTGTATGCTCCACCCCGACCTCGACCTTCCTCTCTCTCTCTCTCTCTTTCTCGCCTTCTCTCTCTCTTCGTGTTGAGCTCCCTCCGTCTAGGGTGCCCAACGACTTGAGCAAACAAGCATCGGGGTGGAGGTCGTTCGTCGTTGTCGGCCTCTGGTGGCCCCCGCCAGGCCTGAGGACCATCAGTGGACGGCTCGGGATGAGTGGCCAACCCTCGGGAGGGGTGGAATTCGGGCCCCCCGTGCAGAGTCGGTCCGAGGTCTGAGATCGAGGTCGGCTCGGGGAGGATGCCACAGTGCTCTCCGTGCCTGCTGGATGTTCTGGTGCAGCCTGGGGAGGGTACCCCTGCATGCTCTGTGCGGTTTGGCCGGCGGAGGGTCTCATGCCCTTGAGGGATGCTCTCTTGGCCCAGGTCCGGCTGCGTTCACAGGGAAGCGCATCGGATCTCTGCGCCGGCGCTCCCGCGCACACCCCTCCTCTCCCCGCCAGGTGCCTCTGCAACGGGGAGCGCGGCACGGGTCTGATCACCAAGATGCCGCTCCACTTCCAGGAGCGAGGGGGGGGGAGGGCGGAGAGAACGGACGGCAAGCTGGAGCAGAGGGGGCGTCCGCCCGTGGGTGACCGCCCCGCCGCGAGCGCCGCGGCCCCGAAGGGCCTGTGGCCCAACGCAGCTGAGGTCAGCGGGCAAATGCCCTCCAGGGATGGGCCTGTTTGCACGTTCGGGCCTCTCGGCCCCCGGAACCACTGCAGACTGATGCGATTCAGAAAGGACCATGTCGCTCAATGCGGAACAAAGAATTGGACTTGAAATGGAGAGGCATGTACGGAAAACCATGAAGGCGCACTTGAAGCCTGTGGTTTGCAGCACACTGGTACTGGGCACGTGCCCTCACGCGCTGAACAGTGTTGTTCTTCGATACGTTGTGAGCGGTGTTGGACTACGAAACCAGACGCCCATCGAGGAGCCTCTGATGGGCTTGCTTGACATGTACTAGTCCGTCCATGGCGATTGGAGCCTTTTCTCGGAACCGCATTGGGCTAGAGCTGTTGGTTAGCGGTTCACCGAACACTTCTGCTTCCACCTATACCCATGGCTATGAGGATGGCTCCGAGCCATGACATCTCCAGCGTCAAACCCCAACCAGGCAACCAACCGTGGTCTTATTACCACGCCACAGCATGCAGGATCACGGTGACGGATAACACGACAGCCACATGACAGTTGCGGAATGGTTTCGTTGGACATTCACTGAACAACCATGGGACAACCATCGAACAACCGCGAGACATTTGCTGGACAACAGAAGGACAACCGCACGTCATTACATTACCACGGGACACGTGCGAGGCTTTGATGGCCACTGGAGAGGGGAGCAGGGCTGGCGACCTTGCGCTCAGCTGCGAAGGGTTATCGCTTCCCGCCCACTCTTGCAGCCTCTGCTCGCCCCCACACGGCATGAAACGAGCCAAATCGAAATCGATCCAGATGGTGATCGTTTTTTTATTCATCGTTTGCCAATCGGCGCTGGCAATCGCACCCCCCCTCCCCCCCCGTGGAATAGATCTTGACTTTTTTGGGCGCCTGTTTCGAGCAGGTGGAGTCTCCCCCATCAGACGCACGGTCCCACACAATCGCACTAAGCAGAGGTCTTGAGCCAGACCCCCCCCACTCCTTCCGCCCAATGTCGGAACGCCGAATGAAAAACCTTCATTTGGCCGCAGACACATACACCAGCCCAATTTCCGATACTCGGAATCATTGTGCCAGCCGTGGCCGCAGCTCGGTTGCACGCATCGGTGACCCTTCGTTGGAGTGAAAGTTGGTGCGTTGTGCGGCTTGCTGCTGGCGGAGGGGGGGGGTCAAACCCAAGCACGCCGACCGCCATTGTCGCAGCGCATGCAATGCTTGGCAAGCTGCGCACTCGTGTCAATCTTGCCTAGCCACTCCACCATTGCAAGGAGCCGACTAGCCCCCGCAGTGGCCTTGCCGCCTGCACGGGTTCGCTCTACGACCCCGTGCCCGTAAGATTGTTCGGTATGGTTTGCATCTGGAGCGGAGTGCTCGAGAATATGCTTTGGCCAGGGGAATGCGCGTCTTGGGCAACTCCGAGTCGAGCCCCTCATCATTTCAATGCCTACCATCCTTGGCCATGTGCCACTCCGTGTTTACCGGCGGAGTGCCCAAACCCCTGAGGCGAGAGTCAGCACGGCGGCCAGCTATCCATCAGCGCGATCATGGCCCCAGCGGGGAGCACACCGCAAACATCTCATACTGCACACATGCTGCTCCGCAGGCTTCGGAAAAGCGAGACAACCCTCGAACACCTTTTGGGTTGGCGGCGCGACCATGTGCGGAAGCGGCTGATGCCGCCCACAGTGAGAGAGGCGAGGGGGGGATTCGAGGTGGCGGGAGGTGGAGCCAGGCGTGCCCCTCAGACGCAGTGCTCGGCCCGCGAGCGGGTGCCTGCACAGCGGCATCCATTCCTTGCAGGGGGCCAGGGGTGCGAGGTGCGGCCACGGCCAGCGGCGCGGCGGGCCCCAGTCCCATGCGACAGCCCTCGAACGCCCCGGAGGGACGTCTCTTCTCGGCGCCACCCCGGCGTACTGATGTACTGTGCGCGCGTCGCCCCCCTCAGGGGCGACGCGTGCTCCGAATAATCTTATAATGTATGCTCCGTGGCGGGCGCTTCCTGGCCGTACCCCCCCCCCTCGGGAAACGAGGTACTACAAGATGGCTGTACTATATGTTCGGGTCAGGCGTACGCCTCCGAGGAGGATACATTGTACTGGTATGTCCTAGTGCATCCCATCTTCTCCTCCTCGTCAGGCGGGGGCAAGGAGGACCCGGCCGTCCGACAGCCAGATCGTCTTTCGATAGACGGGCCCAAACGGCCTCTCGACCACCTCCTTGGGGCCAGCGTTCCCGTCTCAAGTCGGGGCTCAAGAGGCGGGGGTCAAAGCAAACGGGGGTCAGCCAGAGCGCCGAATCTTGCAGCATCCTGCAGATCCAGGGGTTCACTGACCCGGGCTAGGGCGCAGGATCTCGCAGGATCCTGCAGGAGTTTGCAGGATCGACGGGGTCAGTAGATTCCCGATCAAGCCGTGCATGTTGCCGACGGCCTTGGAGCCCCGACACGGGCCTCCCGAGGGCCGGAGCTGTGGACCGGTGAGACAGACACGTGGCCGCCTCGATCTGTTTCGAGCCGTCTTCCCTTGGGGATGAGAGGTCACCCCCCCGCAGTGCCTCGTCGGCATTTTCGGCCCCAAGCCCGTCCCCGGCTCGGGAAGAGCCTCGCCCCGCTGTCCGACCTTCCTCCGTGGTGGGGGAGAAGAGGAGGAGGAGGAGGAGGAGGAGGAGGAGGAGGAGGAGGAGGAGGAGGAGGAGGAGGAGGAGGAGGAAGGACGACGGAGGAGAGGAAGGAACAGGAGGAGGAGGAGGAGGAGGAGAGGAGGAGGAGGAGGAGGAGGAGGAGGAGACCGTCGTGCTGTTGAAAAGGAGGAGGGGTGGGAATAGGAGAGAGGGAAAGGAAGAGGAGGAAGAGGAGAGGAAGGAACAGGAGATGTCAGATGAGGAGGAGGAGGAGGAGGAGGAGGAGGAGGTGGAGGAGGACGAGGAGGAGGAGGAGGAGGAGGAGGAGGAGGAGGAGGAGGAGAGGCGAGCATTGTGTGCACCTTTTATCCACCGTGAGGCCCACCCCTCATGGCCAGTTCTGCTTACCGAGAGTGGCCAACCCAGAGTTGTCCTGCCTGACGGAGGGTAACCCAAGGAAGCATTGGATCTTACAGTGGGGGCGCGGATCAGGAAACCATATGCTTCTCGTCAGGGCACTCATCCTGGGATTCTTCGCTCCGCGCGCCGCGCGGTGACTTCCCGATGTAACGCCGCGCATAGAAAGCTCGAGCACTGTAGATGAGTACGGAAGGTATTCATATGCGCACGCTAGCATCGTCTGAACTACATTCTGATTGACTGGGACTCAATCAGGGTGCTCTGGGCTTCCCTCGGATGCACCTCTCGCGCGTTTTTGTTTCAGGGTTGGCTCTCTAGCGAGGGTTTCTTGCGGCCGCGCCCGCACTGAACCCGTCACAGGTTTCACGGCATCCATCCCCCTTCTCGAGGGGGCAGGTTGGCGGCGCCAATCTGAGGCCAAGCAGCCACGGAGGACTATTCAAAAATAATCAAAAAATAGTATGGGAACGATATTTCTACTATTTTTGACTATTTTTGCATGTGTGTGGGCTATTTTTGATTTGTCCTCCAAAATCCGCCTGTAGGGGGACATGCCTGACCTAACATTAGCTTTCGAAGGTCCGCGCGGATCTCGCACGTGGGCTGGCGCCGCCCATGGCGCGCCCCGCAAGCCAGGGAGGAGGGCTCAGCGCCGATCCATGATATCCGGGATGCTGCTTATGTAGCTAAGGGTCCGCGTGCGGGCGCGCCTGTTGCAGGTTGGCCCTCGCGTGGCTAAGGCCTTGCATGGTGCATTTTTACGGGGCCCAAGCATATACACCACCACCATCTCCCTGACCCCATCCCTCTCCCCAGAAAGAGGAGGGGAGGAGGAGGGTAGAGGAGGAAGGGGGAATGGAGGTGGTGGTGGTGTATATTCTTGGGACCCGATATTTTTTTCTTGGGCATCATCGTTGGCTGGGTAGTGCGGTCGTGAACGCAAACCGTCTGGCCGAGGAATCGCGGGACAGGGGGGCCTGGATGCGTCTAGCAAGGCCGAGTGCCCGACGCGCAGCGGCCAGCCGCGCGCGCCTCGCCGGCCAGGGCGCCAAGTTCCACCGCATCATCCCGGGCTTCATGTGCCAGGGCGGCGACTTCGAGCTCGGCGCCCAGGGGATGGGGTCTCATTCCCAGACATCCTCCGAGGAGTGACAGGTACCCATACGTACCCACCTCTTCCCTCGTCTTCACGGCCGGATTCGCCCAGAGAGGTCCACGGAAGAGCGGTATGAGGATATTTTTGTTCCCCATGTCCAACGGCTCGAAAGGATCGAGACGGCCGGTGATCCATTGTTTTGCACCTGCGGAGGCCGTTTTCGGGCCCGTGGGACCATCAAAGAGCGAGCGGGGATGAGGAGCTTGTCCCATGGAAGTGGTGGAGATGTCGGGGGGGGGCGTGTCTCGAGACTGTCGAGACGCGTCGAGACGCCACATGTCTTGGTACGGGCCGAATCATTCCCAGTCATCCGAAAGAATGTTGGTTTCCAGTCCTTGAGTTTCCCTTCATTGCGGCCTGCTCGAGCCAGTTTCGATTTCGAGGTACATCGAATATCGATCCGTGACGAAAAGTTGTCCTCGAGGTAGTGGTCGGCAGATCTGTGGCCCGGGATCAACAACCATCACGTCGTCGGATGTCTGGGAAGAGGGTGGCGCGATGGGGGGCGGCCTTTGAGAAGGCGGATGGGGGTACTAAGCAGGCAGTTGCCTTCTTAGAAAGCCTCCTGGCTTCTCGTATACCATCCCAGAAGGCTCCAGTCCCTGCTAAGAAGGCCCCCGCCCTCTAAGAGGCCCCCCACCTTCTTAGAAGGTCGGCCCACGTGTTTCCGCGCGCCACCAGTCTCTGGGGATTCTCACCAGCAGAGGGCAATCCCGATGACGCCTCCCGGACTCTCTGCCAGCCCTGGAGGACCTCTCTCAGACTTCTTCCTGCTCCTCCTCCTGACGCTGACACCGATGGCGGATCTGTCCCATGACTCACGATATCAAACCCCTACAGCCTGGCCGAAAGCCAAAGTGGAGGGGGACCATAACTTTTGATCCTGACAAAAAAAAGCAAGGAACACCTGACAATGAGCTCCTCCTCCTCCTCCTCCTCCTTCTCCTCCGCCTCATCCTCATCAGCCTATTCCTCCTCCTCCCCATCCATCCCACCCCAATCCTGTTCCTCCTCCCCTTTCCAACTCTTCCACATCCCCGATGCATCTCCCCAGCCAGATGAGGATCCAGGGACAGACTTTCTGAGCCGTGCTTCGTCCAGGAATGACACGTGGGCGCCGCGAAGAGATCGCGAATGGCGTTTCTGTTTCGTTTACGGGCCCTGGGGCTTTGCGCGGGTTAACCGGGCTCGAGACTTGCCGTGCAAGGGTGGTTACGAGAGTTCCAGTTCTGGCTATTGTTTCCCCACGTTGAGATTGTATCCACGACACCGGACTTCGGGGGAAGTCGTGGGGCCACGTCTTTTGTCGCACATTCGGCAAAGGGGGGGGACCAGGAGCACTTCGCTTGCTGACCACTCGGCGGATGCGGCCGTCTATACCTCGTCTAAGACGCTCCTGAACCTCCCACTCTTCCTCCTCCTCCTCATCCTCCTCGTCCTTCTCCTCCTCCTCCTCCTCCTCCTCCTCCTCCTTCGTGGCCTCGATCTGGCTCGAGGCAGCGTCGCTGGCTCGGGCCAGGCCCAGAAGCGGCCTTGTCCGAACCGCGCCTCCCGCGCCCCGCCACTCCCCTGAGATCCGACGTGGCCAGCAAAATCCAGCATCGTGAAGCATCACGACCAGAGCCCCTCACCCCATCCTTCTGCGCAATTCTTCGAGCCGGATCGATCTGTGAGGGTCCTGGGGCCCGAAACCGCGCGAAAACGCCCAGATCGAAAAGCATACGACGCCAGGATTCGGCGATCACAAAGGGTGTAGTTACGCCGGGGGGTGGTTTGCGATCTGCACCGTCGGGGCTTGGGGGCCCTCGCCGAACCTCCTCGGTGCGCGGCGGATAACTCTATATCGAGGTCCTCGCCCGCCCCCCGCACCCTCTGCAAACCACACCCTTCGGAGTCGCCGATGGATCTCCGCCCCCCCCAAAAAGTACACAGACACCCTCCAACGGATTGTTCCCGGGCCTCAGGGGAGGGTTGCGGTGTAAAAAAATCACCACCGAGAGCCAACGATTTTGAACCCCGCAGCCCACACTGAAGCTAAATGCAAAAGGTCATCGGAGAGTGCCTGTGTACCTACTCTCGTGGCGTAGGATCAGGGTCTCGGAGGCCCACAGAGGCCCGAGATGGCGGCCTGCCCCATGGGCCCCGGCGGCGGCGGCTCGGCCGCGGTCGCGGCCGCGCTCGCGGAGGCGAGCGACGAGGTGGCGGCGCCGGAGGCGACTGGGCAGGCGGGCGTGGAGCCCGCGGTGGCGCTGCTGCGGGCCGCGTTCCGCCACCTGGTGGTGCAGGAGCCTTCCTCCTCTTCCTCCTCCTCCTCCTCCTCCTTCTCCTCCTCCTCCTCCTCCTCCTCCTCCTCCTCCTCCATTCTCCCTTCCTCCCTCCCTCCCTCCCTCCCTCCATCTCCCTCCTCCTCCTCCTCCTCCTCCTCCCTCCTCCGCCCTCCTCACTCCCCCCTCGCTCCACTCCTCACTCCGACCCTCCTCCCCCTCCTCCTTCTCGTCATCATCATCCATCTCCTCTCCCTCCCACCCTCCGTCCTCCTCATCCTCCTTTGTCTCCTCCTCCCTCCCTTCCCTCCCTCCCTCCTTCTCCTCATGTTTCTCCTTCTTACTCCTTTCCTCCCTCCCTCCCTCTCCGCCTCAGAGTTGAGCATCTTCAATGCCTCCTCTCGTCGTGTGGTGCGTGAACAGATCTAGGCCTCCCAGACGGGGTCGGAGTAGATGGGGTCAAAGGATCGCGCCGCATCGCCGATGCTCTCGGCGATGTTGCTCGATGTGGAGCCCGATGTTCTCCGCGCTGGCGTGGCTGATGCACCGCCAGCGCCGCCGACTCATGGCCGCTGCATCGCCGATGCGGCGAGATTATCCGATTCCATCTATTCGGATCCTATCTGGGAGGCCTCTCAGGATTGAGCATCTTTGCTGCATCCTCGTCGTCTGATGTGTGAACATAGTACCGTCGGAAATTTGGGCCTCACGGGATACTCGCTTGCAGCACGTTCGGCTCCTCTTTCAAGCCACGGTTTACTACATGAGGTTGCTTACCGCAGGTCGGCTTGTGTGGGGGTCTCGGTTCGTCTGGCGACCTTTCGATTCGCATAGCGGTGGAGGCCGAGTCGTGTCGAGTTACGTGGTCGCGCTCCCGAGAGAGCAGAGACTCCGAGTTGTCCACTGAGCGTGAAGGAGGAGGAGGAGAAGGAGGAGAAGGAGGAAGAGGAGGAGAAGGACGAGAAGGAGGAGAAGGAGGACGAGGGAGGGGCAGATGATGATGATGATGGTGATGATGATGATGATGATGATGATGATGACGACAACAATGATTATGAAGAGGATGAGGATGATGAGGATGATGAGGATGATGAGGATGAGGATGAGGATGAGGATGAGGATGGTGATGGTGATGATGATGATGATGATGATGATGATGATGATGATGATGATGATGATGATGATGATGATGATGATGATGATGATGATGATGATGATGATGATGATGATGAGGAGGAGGAGGAGGAGGATGAGGAGGATGAGGATGAGGGGAGGAGGAGGAGGGGGAGGGGAAGGAGAGGAGGAGGAGGGGAGGAGGAGGAGGAGGAGGGGAGGAGGGGGAGGAAGAGGAGGAGGAGGAGGAGGAGGAGGAGGAGGAGGGAGGGGGCAAATGAGGAGGAGGGGGAGGGGTCGCATGGGGGTGCAGGCGTGGGCTGGCCTTTGCGGGGCGTGGAGACAGATCGGATCGCTCGAGGGGGCAGGCTCGGTCGGCGCGGGGGGGGGGGGGGCGAACGGGCCGTCGGGGGCGGGGCAGGGCGCTTCTCGATTCCTCCGATTCGATTCGATTCGATTTCGATGGCTTCTGATTTCGATTCGACTTCGACTTCGGATTCCGATTCGGGCTCCGAGTTCCCATTGGAGACTTGCCACTATACCGATTTCCGCCGATTCGACGTTTTCCGACTCGGCTGCCGATTGCCGTCGATCCGAGTCATTTCGATCGCCGATCCGACTTATCGATTCGATTCTGGGCTCTCCTGCGGGGTGGCACGGGGGTGGCGCTTCCAAGCAAATAACCTGTTTTGTCTTACAGTGGCGGCCCATGCCAAGAAACACCCTGCTTGCCTCCAGGGTGCCCTGGGCTTTTCTTGGGTTTCGATGGTTTTGTCATGGAGAGCGAGACGCTCCCACGCCAAACATCAGTGGACGTCCTGGGGTCTCAGGGCTGTGTTTCTTGTGGAAGATCTCTTGTGGACTGGCCTCCATTGTATCGAAAGAATTTGTGTAACCAGGGTTGGCCGGAAGGGGTTGGCTGGAAGGTTGGCCAGATCTTTGGTAGTTGGTTGGGAAGGTTGGCTGGGCCTGTTTCGTTTGGGACATCCTCAGAGCTCAGTCCAAGCGTGCCCGCTCGCTTTCAGCACGCCTTGCGTGGCTCAGAACGGTTGGCAGGGGTTGGCCGTGGGGTTGGCGACCCCCAGTCTTGGGTGAACGATTCTTTCCGTAACATTTGGGTAGAGCAAGTCGTCGGAGGTCCGCGCGGATCTCTTGGATCGGGGCTGGAACTCGGGGGCCGGCGCCGATCCCAGAGGTCCCCACGGACCTCCGGACGATCATATCGAGTCGGATGTGTCTCCTTCTTCTTAGGAGGGTTTCTTGGACACGCAGAGCAGCAAGGGGTTCCTGGCTTGCCAGGCGTTCCTCCAGTCGATCGAGCTCTGCTCCGACGCCATGCTGCTGGAGCCTGCTGCGCGCTCGTACCGGGACGTCTTCTCCAGGAACTTCAGGGGGCTCTTCGCAGGCCACAGCCGCAGCTATCGCGTCGACGTGCTCGAAGCAGGCACGAGCCTTGGCTTGGTGGTCTTTTCGAACGGCGAGCGTGTGCAGTTGAGCCAGGCAATAGCCCCCGACGCCGAGGGGCTGCGAGATGCGTGGATCAGTCTGGGCTGCTTTCTGAGTCGATGGGATGGCCGCTCATGGTCCGAAAAGCAGCAGGATGAGCGGAATCCAAGCGCTTTGGACGAGCTTCGCTCAGCGCTCGCCCGCCTGGATTACGCGTGGGCTGGCTTCGAGCGCGTATATGTCGAGGAGCTCATGCTGCTGCAGGAGCGGGGTCGCCACTTGTTGCGGAAGGCCGTGACTTACGAGCAGAGGCTGCGCGATATCGAGGAGAGGGGCACACGCAGGGCGACCGCGCTGGAATCGCAGGAGCTCCAGGCACTGCAGCATAAACTCATAGAATGCTTGGAGCAGCTCAACCTGGTAGCCAATGTTCGCAGGAAGGGGTGCCACCGTCTCAGTGCGACCACGCTCCTTGCTGCCCGCAGGGTGTTGGCCCTCAGGCGCGGCGGCTGCCCCGCCCGGGTGCTAGGCGAGCGCGTGTTGCAGTCGTACGCGCAGATGCGGGAGTACCTCCGCGAGGTCGGCACGCGCCTCGAAGAGGTGGACCCCGACCTGTGGCGCAATGCCGACCTGGTGGACCAGCTGGAGCACTGGGAGGAGAACTGGGAGATAGGGGCCCGCTACCTGCAGGAGCCGAGGCAATTCCACGCCGTCTGCGACATGGTGGCGTACCTGCGCGAGGTCCTGAAGGCAGGGTCCGGTCCGCTCCGAGAGAGCCGAGTGGGTATCTGGCTGGATCCGATTCCATGCGTAGACAAACCGATGCGGGCTCATGCTCGCATGGCGTTGTTGTGTATCTTGGCGCAGCCAGTCCGCTCCGGTTTCCCGATCCGATGCCGACTGATCCTGTGAATCAGGCAGTGGCGAGGCGTCTCGATTCGCCTGCAGGCCCACAAAAGAATGTTCTACGAACCGTTTGTTGTTTACAAGAATTTTCTCGATCATGTCTGGCTGAGACGGTCTTGTTCTATCCAATCGGGTCTACATTCTAAAAGCATTGATCCTGCGGTTCGAAGAACATGTCGTGGCAGGCCTGTAGGAATGCCGGGACGATCGGCCCCTGCTGAAACTGAAGGTGGCCCCCGACTTGGCGCGCATGTGCGAGGACCGCGCTTGTCGTCCGTGGTTCCCCCGCCACCCGTCTTGCCTCTTGGGGGGCCTCCGAGGGGCTTCCGAGGGCCTCCCGCGGGGCTTGCCCGGGGGTCTCCCAGTGCCTCCGAGGGCCTCCCGGGGGCCCTCGGAGGGGCCTCCGAGAGCCATCGGGAAGCCGCTGGGCGGCGTCTTGCTGTCGGGTCGGTGCATCGATCCAGGCATCCCACATGGGGTCGGAGCAGATGGGGTCGGAGGATCGCGCCGTATCGCTGATGCATCGGCGATGCGGCTCGATGTGGAGGCAGATTTCTTTTACACCGACGTCGCGCGTGCATCGCCGATGTCGCCGCCGAGTAGCCGATGCATCGCTGATGCATCGGCGATGCGGTGCAATCCTCCGACCCCAATTACCCGGACCCATTATAGGAGCTTCATATATACATATGTAGATGTAAGTATATATACATATGTATATGTATATGTATATGTATATGTATATGTATATGTATATGTATATGTATAAACCCTGTGCGGGCGATAATAAACCCCCTGGGATAATAAAGTTCGCGGTTCCCGCGGGGATAATACAGGATTTTCCCGGGGAAGGTAATTTATGATGATGATGTTGTTGATGATGATGATGATGATGATGATGATGATGATGATGATGATGATGATGATCAAGATGAAGATGAAGATGAAGATGAAGATGAAGATGAAGATGACGACGATGATGGAGGAGGAGGAGGAGGTTAAACCAGGGGCACGACAGAAGCCTGACTCGAGCGATCTCGAGGCTCGTGGCTACTTGCCCGCAGAGGCGCACGACGCAATCAAAATCCAATCGGCCCCTATGGCCCTGCCACACGTTACTGACTCGGGAGCGGCTAAGAAAATGAGAACCACATGGCCCTGCCGCACGGTCGTAACGTGGGCAAACTGAACTGGTGAGAATCCCACAGCCCTGCCACACGCTCGTGATTGCGGAAGCTGGTGTGGTGAGACCACCATGGCCATGCTCAGCGTGTTTGATGCTGTTGCTAATCAACATGATATGATAGCAGCTTCGATCACCGCAACTTTTCCGTGGATGATCAAGTTCGGCTTCCGCGCCTTCCCCACAGATAAATCCCTGTGGCCGGGGATCAAAAATAGGGGGTACTGTAATATCGCCCGTGGTCGGTTATGTATGTTGTTGTGTATGTGTATATGTGTATATGTGTATGTGTATGCATGCATGTATGTATGTATGCGTGCATGCATGTATGTATGCGTGCATGCATGCACGTATGTATGTATGCATGCACGTATGTATGTATTTATGTATGTATGTATGTATGTATGTATGTATGCATATATGTATGTATGTATGTGTGTGTATGTATGTATGTGTGTATGTATGTATGTATGCATGCATGCATGCATGCATGTATGTATGTATGTATGTATGTGTATGTATGTATGCATGCATGCATGTATGTATGTATGTACGTAGGTACGTACGTACGTACGTAGGTACGTACGTACGTACGTACGTACGTACGTATGTGTGTATGTATGTATGTATGTATGTATGTATGTATGTATGTATGTATGTATGTATGTATGGATGGATGGATGGATGGATGGATGGATGGATGGATGGATGGATGGATGGATGGATGGATGGATGGATGGATGGATGTATGTATGTATGTGTATGTATATATATATATACATATCCGGGCGGCGGGATCTAGTGGTACGAACCCGCGCCACTGGCTAGGCCCATCCTGGTCCCAGAATCGGTGTGTATACAGACATGATCATGGCCCGAGGCTTCTCAGCCCCCCCAGATGGAATAAGCCCCAGGGTTCCATAGGCCCCCCCAGATGGGATGGTGTGGGGACGAAGACGACGACGACGACGACGACGACGAACCCTCCACAGGGGTGGTGGTTGTGGGGGGGTCGATCCTATTCGCGAGGCCTTCGCGAGGCTCATGGGCGCACCCATCCGGCGGGGGCTGAGGGGGGGCCCGATCCCATTAGCACTGGGGGTGGGGGGGGGCCTTCCAGGGGCCAGGCCAGGGGGGGCGCATGCAGCGCTGCTGGACCCAGGATGGGCCTGGCCAGGGGAATGAACCTGCTTACGTTGGGGAACCCAAAAGGCACCGATACCGCTACTCCCCCGCCCCCTCCCAGAGCGCGTTTTGACTAGAATTTCGAGGGCGACGATGGCCTCCCAGGAGGCCCCAAAAGGTGAAAACGATGGGAGGGCAGCAATATATGGGTACCTCTGGGCGGAACTAGGACGAAAATACATCCGTTCCAGAGCGTTCCGGAACGCTCTCGGAGCGTTCCAGAACGCACTGAGAAGGCCGCGGCGTCCGAAACATCCTCCAGAGCCGCCGGATCTCAGAGATTCTCGTTTCATCCTCACCCGCATGGATCCTCGTCCTGGCCTCGTCTCAGTGTGGGCCCCTCTTCCTCCCTCGACGGATCGCGAGAGGACCGCGACCCGGAGCTCTTCCTGGCGCTGCCGCGCGCCGTGCTCCTCGCCTTCCTGGCGGCCCCGCGCGGGCCGCGGGCCGCCCTGCTGCGGCGGCTACTGCCGCACAAGTTCACGGCGCGGGAGGGCGCGGCCGAGGATCAGAGGGGCAAGGCGGTGGCGAGCAGGGGGGGGGGAAGTTCGAAGGATCGGAGGAGCAGGGGGAGGGGGATGAGTTCGAAGGAGAAGGCTTTCGCAGAAGGCGGCGGGGCTTCCCAGAGGCCCTCGCGCCGTTTGAGGAGTGCCCTGCGCCCATGGGGAGGGCTCAGAGCTTAGGGCACTTCTCGGACGGCCGGGGAACTTCGGAGCCTTCCGAGAGGGCCTGCTCCTTCACATCCCCCCCCCTGGGCTCGCCGCCAAATGGTGATGATACGTTCCACGTTTTCCAGGCTTTTCCTAGATTTTGTTCCGAGGAGGAAGAGGGACCTATACCGCTGCCCTCCCTCCGTTTCCCCATCTTGGGGCCTCCCGGGAGGCCCTCGTCGCCACCGTTGGCTTCGCTCGAAATCCGATTCGGAACGCACTATCGGGAGAGGTCCAGGGAGTAGCGGTATCGGTACCTGATGGTTTCCCCACAAGAAGACATGGCAAGGTTTCCAGTCTGTTCCTAGATTTAATGTTCCACACGTGCTTCAGAACAGGTGTGCGCTGGGCGCTCGTTACTCTGGAACCCATGGCACGTATCGAGAGCCAATCCTACCATGACATTCTCACCATAGAGGATGCGGCGCGCTCTGGCCCGGGCCCAGAGCTCCTGGAGCTCGCCGGCCGCGTGGGAGCGGTGCTTGCCAGCCTGGAACAAATCCCCACCCAGAAACACCCGGCGGCTCGAGCAAGTCGAGACTGTCAGTCTTGTTGTTCGGTTTCGGCCTCGGGGGAGGGCGTTCGGACCCCGGGACCCAGGATGAAGAAGATATGCCCTGGGGAAGGGGTACTAGGCATTGGCTCTGGGGGCACGTGTTTCGAACAACTCGAGTCGCCGGGTGGCGTGCCATCGGAGGTCCTAAAACGGTGCCCATGACCACACCGTGGGGGACCATAGGGGGGCCTCCCAGGTCCCAAGAACGTGCAGGGACGGGCCGTGCGGTGGAAGTCTTTGAGATGTCGAGGTTACCGCACGGTCTGTCACCGCACCGTCTTAGGACCGCCAATCACCAGCCTTACGCATGCCTGTATGCCTGTTTGACTGGCATCGCCCTGTCTCGGTGCCGAGTGGCATCGCCCTGGGCTTGCCGGTTTGGGGGAGCCTCGAGGCTGGTTTCCCCACCCCCGACGTCGTGCTTGTGTCATGACGTGAACCCCCAGAGGTCTCGACCCATGCCCCGCATCCTGAGCAGCTTTCTGACGGTCTTTTGGCCCGGTGAGGGCGCCTGGGGGCTGAGAATCGCGGAGAGTCTCCCGCCGTTTTTTCCCATGACTCGAGGGGGGCCCGGGTCAGGTGCAGCTGCTGCTGGAGCGGTCCGCACCCTCGAGGGTGGAAGCGCTGAGGGTGCTTCTGCTGCGCGTCACCGTCGGGCCGGGCTGCGACGCGAGCGCAGCGGAGGAGGCCCTCGAGGTCGGGGCGCGGCAGGCCCTGGACAGCTTTGTTCGGGAGCTGGAGGGCCTGAGCATGGAGCTGCAGAGGTCGGCGTGAAGGGAACCCAGACATGCTGTCGCCATGAGAAAGCGCGGCGCGGTGGTTTTCGCTGCGTTGGGCATCTGAGGGCCCCTCCTGGGCCCCGGGACCGCCAAGAACGATTCGGGATGAAACATTTTGTTCCCGGGAAGGGTCGAGACGTCCTTGGGGCCCACGTATTTACAATAATCAGGACGTCGCATGTCTGCGCAGTGGTCATGAGGGAAGATCGGGAGGGAGAACGAGTGTCGACGACACGCAAAGGCTGGCGCTCAGAGCCCGTCAGCGTGTCGCTCCTCCGTGTTTGCCCAAAGATCTGGTATTTTTTTGACGTGACACGCCGAATGGTTCCCCACGACGGCGTGTCATGGATGTTGTCTTCGTCTCCCCAGAAGCGGGGTCCGAGAGGCGTGTTGCCGTTTTCGGGCTCTCGGGACCCTTCACGGACGCCGGGGAACGATTCAGGATGAAGAGTTGGCCCTGGAGGAAAGCATTGGCATTAACTCTTTCCCTCAGGAACCCTTTCTTTCATGCCACAGAGGGCTTCGGCTGGTGGCCGGACCCCGGAGGACTGGAACGAGTGCGCCGAAGTCTTGGTGCAGTGCCTCCTGTCAACGGCGGGGGCAGCTGCGGATCCCCCGGAGTGATGTTGAGGGGCTATCGGCCTTGCGCGGCCACCTCCCAGCGGCGCTGGGCAATATGATCCTTCCTCGTTCCTCGCGGAAGGCTGACTGCTTTTAGTGTAGCGTGCGGCGAACCCAGCTACTATGCACGAGATTGTGCTTTATAGTAGACATTTGCATGCGAAGCATGTGCATGATCATATTGCGTTGACTGGTGCAGTGGCTATAAATGCCCTCGCCAGGATCGACTTGGTCGACGGTCCACTCGCCCCGCGAGTCGGACAAAGCGACAGGATGAGGGGGTGGGGACTAATAGCGTCCTGCCTTGAAGTCCAGCTCGCGAGAATTGAGACAGTGTTACGGGTTTGGCAGTGTTCGGTGCCTCAGTGCTGTGCGGCATTTGGGTTCCCATTCGCATGGAATTCAAAGCTCAGCATCAAATTCCTCCCCATCTCCTCCCTTGTCAGCCACCTCCACTTCCTCTGCCTACGTCTCTCCTCCTCCTCCTCCTCTTCCTCCTCCTCCTCCTCCTCCTCCTCCTCCTCCTCCTCCCCCTTCTCCAACTCTGGGACTCGTCTTGGCGTGCGCTCTGGCCAGGATTCCGAGGCGGGCCCAGTCCAGCCCTGGCGACCAGGGTGCTCTCAGCTTGCGGACGCATGCGAACCGCGACCTCGATGGTGGCGACTCCGTCGGCGACGGCGACGGCGTCGCCGATCCTGGGCCGCGGATTGGGAAGCATTGAGTCCCCTGTCTGGGCGGGCCGCGGATTGGGAGGCGTCAGTCCCCAATCCTGAGCGGGCCTGTTCTGTGCCCAGGATCGGTGCACACGCACGCCTCTGGCTAGGATCTCCCCCCCTCCTCCCCCTGCGGCCCTGCAATGCCGCGTTCGCAAGGTCACTCTCGCCTGCGGTAGGGTCGCGTCGTGTCGACGCGGAGGCGACCCCAGAGCGGGCGTTCAAGGTTGAACGCCGCCAGTGGCCCACGATCGGCCGACGTCAGACAACCTTGCGCTACGGAAAGCCGCGACTGTTCAGGGCTGGAGGCTCCACGCAATGCAAGAAGCCGGACGCACTGGTCGTCATGACACGAACTTGCCGTGTAGACCCGCTCCCCGCGTGCCGGCCAAGTTAATGCCGCCCCCCGAGCGGAGGGCAGGCTCGGGGGCAGAGCTGCGGGGGCATAGGCTCCGGAGAGGACGCATCGACCCTCGGTCGCCAATCGATCGCCGGCGGGTGCCCGAGAGAGGCCGCCCCGCCCAGGACCGCATGCGGCGTCGCGTGCTGGGGGGGGCCCCTCGCCGATCTCTTGGCGCTGTCTCGCCCAGTCCCCCGCCTCCGCCTCCTCTGCCGCCACCGCCTCCTGAGCGGGCCCCCCCTGCGTGCCCCCCCCCCCCGCAGCGGAGGGCAGGCGACGGCAGGGGGGGCGAGTCCATCTACGGTGGCAAGTTCAGCGACGAGCAGGCGGGCCTCGCCCTGAGGCGCGACCGCGCGCGGCCTCGGCCCTCTCTCTCTCTCTCTGCCGCGCGCGCGCAGTGCGGCACCGCGCAGGGGAGCCCACTCTCGCCGACGACGGCAGCGAGGGGCTGCGGCGGCAGCGGCGAGAGTGTCCGCCCGCGCGGGCCTCAAGCAGCGTGTGCTAGCATGCTGTGTGGTGCAATATGTGCGCTGCGATTCATGCTGCAGAACTCGGAGTTGTCAAATCCATTGCTCGCGCGATCATCCCACCCACCCGCCCAAAACTTGGTTAGTAAAACCCACGCGGCGGCGATTGCGATGACTGCTTGGCGCTGGCTTGCGGATCTGTGCGGCCTCGCTGGCGCGCACAAGCTCGCGCGCAGAGCGGCCAGCTAGTTTGGCGCGACCGACGCGGCCGCGCTGGCTCTGGCCGCTGCCGACTCCCCAGCGCATCTCGCAGGCCATGCTGGCGCGTGGGCACTCCAGTGCGAGTCGGTGACTCTGGCGGATGCGGTATCATGGTGACGTCCGCAACGGCGGACACGATGATGATAGTCGCGACGATGGTGACGAAGATGACCATGACGACGGTAATGCCGATGACGGCGCCGATGCTGGACACGCCGATGGCGATGATCATGTCCACGCGTCGGTGATGAAGATGTTTGGAGGACTCCGACATGCGGGCGCGGCCGACGCGCGCGAGTGGCCCGCATGCCATCGTTTGACAGGGATCGTGTTCCCCCCCCAAAAAAAAATGGTTTCGACATGCGCGCGCGCGAGAGGCACGCGCGGTCTCATATGACGACGATGCTGAAACAAACTTGCGGTCCCCCGAAGAAGTGGCACAAACGCGCGCGCATAAAATGTTTGGAAACGTAAGGTTGCAAATCCATGGTTTTCCAGGAGATTCCATGTGGAACCCCCTGCGACACCGAACGTGTTTGAATGATTCCGGCATGCGCGCGCGACGACGCGAGCGTGTGAGTTTTGTGTTTTTTTCATGTGTGTGCAAACGGTTCCTTGAATTTGATGAGTGCCGATAGCATGTGTGCGCGCGTTGTACTGTTTGAGTGAGATGGCGGCTTGGTTGGGATGGTGTGAATTCATGTGGACACTGATCGTAAAGGCATACTCGTATGTAAACTGCAGTGTCCCATGCGGTGTCGATGAGCTCGCCCTCGGGAGGGTGGTAGAATCTGTGTCTTAAACTCTTGTTAGAAAGTCGAACCGTTTTTTGTTGCATATTATGGGGGCGCACTCTCGCCAACGACGGCATCGGACAAATACAAACACTTCGGCGGCGGCGATTGCGCTGGCGAAGGCGGCGAGGGAACGAGCGGCGGCGACGCAGGCGGCCAGGGGGGGGTGGGGGCCGAGGGCTGGGGACGGGCTCTCAGTCATCCCCGCGGATCAGTACTGTTGAACCGATCCCGATGAAAACGATGATGACGATGATGATGAAGAAGAAGATGAGGAGGAGGAGGAGGAAGCGAAAGAGGAGGAGGAGGAGGAGGAACAATAATAATACAGTCGGACCGAGGTATAAAGATCGAGGTCGCTTCGGGGAGGCTACCCTAGTGTTCTTCGTGTTTGTTGGATGTTCTTGTGCATCCTGGGGGAGGGCACCCTCGAATGCTCTTAATGTTGGCCGGCGGAGGGTCTCATGTTCTTGAAGGATGTTCTCCTGTCCTAGGTCCGACTGTAAGTGGGGGAGGGGCAGGAGGAGGAAGAGGAAGAAAGAAAAGAGGAGAGGGAGGAGGGAGGAGGGAGGAGGGGCGAGGGAGGAGAACGAGGAGGTGGAGGACGAGGAGGAGGACGAGGACGAGGATGACGTGGAGGGCAGGGGAATGATCCCAAGATGGTACGCGATGGATGCACAAGCACGGCGTAAAAGAGCACGGCACAGCATAGCATGTCATAGCATGGCGTGGCATTGGGTAGTGAAGCATTGCATCACAAAGCATAGCAACAGGATTTGGAACAACCGGAGGCGCGGGAACGAGGCCAATGTTGCAGCGGGAGCACGATTTTGAATGACCGAAGCGCGGAAATGAGGGTGGCGCTGCAGCGGGAACACAACTTTGGAAGAATCCGAAACGACCGAATTTCCCCAATCAGTGCTTGCACTGAAGGGGTCCTAGCGGATATTGAAAGAGAAGGCGAATGTTTCA